CCCTAAAAACATCCCCAAACGAAGCAATTAACGATCTTTGGAAAGCAACTAGCAACAGCAAAAATATTCAGTATGACGTTTATAACGCCACTAAGCAAGTTCTTAAGGACTTTCGCTCTGGCCAAGAGGATAAACTGCATACTCAATTAACCTGTCAGGGCTCTTTCTTCACTAATATAACAAAGTTCTCACTGTCCCAACTCACTAAAATTTGGTCTGCGTGCCAATCGAACCTTCCGAAAAATATATTCAACTTTACAGTTCGATACATCAATAACTCCCTTCCAACGCGCCAAAACCTTGCAAGATGGGGTTTATCACCGACTTCAGACTGTTCGCGATGTCTAGCTCCTGAAACACTTCTGCACGTAGTAGCTGGTTGCCAATCGTATCTAGAACGATTCACGTGGAGACATGACTCCGTTCTAAACTTTCTCGCAACGTACAAGCCGGCAGACCGTAAGCGGCTCACATCTTTACGTGGATCTCCCAGGGTACAAAAGTCCATCAATCATCACTGGTGACACCTGCCGTCCAGATTTGCTTCTTTCAACCTCAACCGGAACACTCTATATTGTTGAACTTACAGTTGGCTTCGAATCAAATCTTCAAAAAAACGTTGAGCGTAAAAAATCAAAATAATTATAAAGAATTAATTAGGGAAAAAATGAACATTTCAACTCAGTAAAATTTGTAAATCTTTCGATTAGTTCTCTTGGTGTTTTCAGTAAGGAATGTTCTACTTTCATAGAAATGCTTAATGATTTTGGTTTTCAAAAGCAACATCAGAATTACTGTATTAGAAGAATGACGACGATTGCAATCCGAACAACGTATTATATATTTTGTTGTCGAAACAAGGAATGGATGAATCCGGAACTGTTAAGTGTTTAAGAGGCTGTCTCCGTAAAAACCTCCAGGTCAGTATGGGGCTCAAAAATAGATTTCTCTCATATTCTAGTATTTTGAAGATCTATCCTTGGGAACAACTAAAATCGATGTCATTTTACTCAAATTTCCTTTAATAAATTATTTTTGGGGGCGATTGATGTTCGATCGACTGGTAACCAACTTGATACTCCGAATGAAGGCCAAATATCGACATATTTTCAGCGCTATTTTTTAAATCAAATTCATACCTAAATTTAAAAATTTTTGCTCAGAAATATAGACTTATCCTTCTATTTTCGCGGGTGATATGACTTAGATCGTTATTCTTTGGTATAAAAAAGAAAACAGCGCAGTTATTGACCCTCCTGAACGGATAAAGGATATCGTCTCAAAATATGTCAACTTCGAAAGCTTATTTCAAAATCGTGGCACTTGAATAGCACATGACTTTAACTTTTCTATAAACTACTAACATTGGTCAACACAAATCGCCAATAATACCTTTCTGATCTACCATTTGACAAAAATGACAAGCGCGCAAACTTTGTAAAATTTGAAAATGTGTCGAAATCGAGCATACTTTATCGGTAAACATAATTCTTGATATTAACAAATAAAACCACCTTACACTACACTGAATGAAGCTTGATTATGCAAATATATGTCTTTCATCATTATTCTTTGGTTTTGCACTCGAATGAAATTGTTTGACTGTACAGTTTGGCTTCAAGGATAGTCATTCAATGCCAGTGTGTCCAGTGTGTTCGAATTCTGCGCGCCTCAATGCCATGAGTCCTGATTGTGATATACGAACTTCGCTGTGTTCGCTTTGTTTATTTCCTGGAAATAAAATGTCTCAAAGAAATTAGAAAATTCAGAATTAGTCATACTACAGACATAATTTTCATTGGTTTGTTTACCTTAAACTGTTATATAAAGTTTCGTTTTATAGAATGTACGAATTAATCTCGGGGAAAACTCCTAACCGAAAGAAATGTACTCGCTGAGCGTAAACATGTCAATCAAATGACGATGAAATGTTTCGTTGCTCTCTGATTCCCTTTCTTTCGATTGAATTAAATAGCAGTCTTAGACAGTATTGCACGAGGTTTTTGTGTTTACAATAATGGTGTTCTACTTCTACTACAGCCGCAATTTGTGATCACGCAACGTTAGGTAAACCTAAACGATTTCGACAGACAGTAGTTTTTGTGTTGACAGATGAGAATGACGGTAAGCAATAATGTAGAAATGTTCCTTTTCTACTTCAGAGTGTGGAAAATTCCGAGACACAGAAGACTGTTCTTCGAAGTTGCTGGCGTGTAAGAATGGCATTAGTTATCACTTGCAAATTTGTCGCCCTTTAAAGCTTGTCGGAAAGAAGAATATAAATTAATTCTAATTTTCAGAACCTTTCTAATTGTTACATTGATTAAGGGGCGAACCATTAGAAAAGTGATTGGGGACAAAAATAAAATTCGAGCAGGGAAAATAGAAAGAAAAAAAAAATTGTTGACATATTTTGTGACGATATCCTTTATCCGTTCAGGAGAGTCAATAACTGCGCTGTTTTCTGTTTTATACCAAAGAATAATGATCTAAGTCATATCACCCGCGAAAATAGAAGGATAAGTCTATATTTCTGAGCAAAAATTTTTAAATTTAGGTATGAATTTGATTTAAAAAATAGCGCTGAAAATATGTCGATATTTGGCCTTCATTCGGAGTATCAAGTTGGTTACCAGTCGATTGAACATCAATCGCCCCCCCCCCCAATAATTTAAAGGAAATTTGAGTAAAATGACATCGATTTTAGTTGTTCCCAAGGATAGATCATCAAAATACTAAAGTATGAGAGAAATCTATTTTTGAGCCCCATATTGACCTGGAGGTTTTTACGGAGACAGCCTCTTAAACGTTGTACTGTCATTTTGTTTTCTTAATAGTATAATTTTTGCATATATAATCAGTGATTTAAGTAGCCAGTTGTAAATTACCTGATATAAGTGAGATTTGCAATTGTATATATAAGCTAAATATTATTATTATTATCATTATTATTATTATTATTATTATTATTATTCAATGAAGTATATCCGGAGAGGGTTTTGCAATACCTATTTACAGAACGAATAGTTATATTAAAATTAAAATTCCTATTTATAGCGTTTATTTAAAATCTATTTGTCTATGAGATCAGAAGTATAAATATTTATCATTTATTTAAAATCTGTTAGATCCATAATATCAGGAAATGTAATTAATTGTTCTATGGCATCTTCTCTTTTAACTCAGTTTTAAATCTTTTCCAATGTAACTTTTTTATATCTTCATCCAAGTCATTCCATATGTTCACCGCTCTGTAATAAAAGGTTCTTTGTCCTGAAACTGTTTTGTGTTGAGGGATGTTTAGCGCTTTATTATTCCTTGTATTTAGATCATGAATTTCATTTCTTTTTATAAATATTTTTTGGATAGATAAGGTGGTGCTAATCCGTTCATACATGTGTATGTTATTAGTGTCTCTCTATATTTTAGGTGTTCCTGTACAGGAAGCCAGCGAATTGCCCGTAGTGCTGGTGTTACATGATCATATCTTCCCGTATTTGTCAATATCCTACAAGCAAAATTCTGTACGTTCTCAATTTCTTTATATTTGTTGCAGAAGTGTTTGACCATACTATACAGCAATAATAAAGTTTGCTCATTACTAAAGCATTGATAATTAATAAGCGAACACTATCCCTATCCAAGCTATCAATTACTCCGTTTATTTGACACAGCTTGGCCATACAAGATGATACAACATTTTTGATGTTGTAATCGTATGTCAGATAACTGTCTAGGGGTAATCCCAGGTCTTTGGCATTTGTGGTTGGTGTAATCTCTTCACCAAGAAATGTAACTGTCGTCTCCTCAAGGAGATTACCGAGCAGTTGACGAGTTCCTATCAAGAGTAACTTTGCCTTCTCGGGGGTTATGTACAGTTTATTTTCGAAAAACCTATTTGCGACCAATTTGAGGTCCTCTTCTATCTTTGTTTTTTCACTAGCAATATCTTCAATTGAAATAACATAAAGATCATAGAATCGTCGACGAATGATTCCAATTCAGATGCTTGTGGTACTCTTGAGAGGTCATTTATATAGATGTAGAACAATAGCGGTGACAATATTGCTCCCTGTGGCACTCCGTGAGTGATTGGTAAAACTTCGGATACCGAGGAGCCAATGCTATCTAACTGCTTTCTATCTGTAATGTAGCTTTCAAACCAGCTAAGGGCTTCACCTGAAACCCCGATATTGCTTAGTTTCTTTAACAGGATTGAATGGTCCACGTTGTCAAACGCTTTTGAGAGATCCAAAAGGACTAAAGCAGTTAGCTTTTTGTTGTCCATACTGAGTGTTTCGGTTGAATGATACTTTTTGTTTCCACTTTGTTGGGAGGATAGGCGGTCAGTGCGGTTAAGAAAACCACTAAATTAATTTAGAGCAATTTTTCACAGATCTTTGATAGTATTTTATGCATTGAAAGTGGGCGGTTATTTGCAGCAACTTCATGGTCACCTTCCTTTAAGAGTGGTATAATTTCTGCTATTTTCCAGGGCTCAGGAAACGCCGAGGTGGTAAATGAGTTATTAATGATGTCTGTCAATGGGCCGAGTATGACCGAAAGACAATCCTTAATAATCCGCATGCTGATTTTGTCTGTTCCTGGAGATTTGTTCGACGGCATTGTTGTTTAATAAGCGTTGCACCTCTGTGCATGTGACGGGAATGAACTTGAACAGTTCCGTAGAGAAGCGTTGAGATCTCCTATTCTGAGGCTCCAACTCAGTTGATATATTTAGATTATTTTGTAGGGCTAACATTTCACCTGTGTCGGCAGCTCTTTTTCCCACAGATTGAAAGAACTGGTTGAGATCGTTGGCCACCTTTAGATGGAATGCATCTGTTAATCACTTTCCACAACGATCTAGAATTATCTTTATGGAGGTAAACTTCAATTCGAACGTGTTGTTTTTCAGCAGCTTTTATAGAGTGGATTTCCGATTTGACTGATATTTGGGCGTTTTTAAATGCTCTCCAATCATCGATAACACATGTTCGTTAGTTACGACGGTGGAGTTGGTCTCTTTGGGACATTTGGGTTTTGATATCCGTTGTGATGAAGGGACAAGAGGGATTTTGGATCTTAGTTATTCTGACTGGAGCATGGACAGCCAAAGTTGTAAGAAGGACGTTGTTAAACTTGTCGAGTTTGGAATTGACATTGGAATCCGAAAAGATGGAAATAAGCTCTTGCGATCTTGATGCAAGGTGGGCAGCGAACCTTTCTCCGTCGTTGTCCTTGTAGCTTCGCGTTAGGATATATTGAGATGGTGGCTTGAGTAGCTTCATATTAAGAACTGCGTACACCGGTAAATGATCGCTTATAATAGTATCTATAACACCACTTTCATTAACAAGATGGGAAACTGAAGTTATTATCACTTCAACTAACGATTCACTAGTGTCTGTTATTCTAGTTGGTGTTATAATTAATTGGTTCAAGTTCATCTCGAACATGAAATTTCCTAGTGCTGTGTTCTCTGGACAATCCACCATAACGTTGCAATTCAGATCTCCCAATCTCTTTTGTTTATGAGAAGGACTTGTTTGGGAGAAGGGCTTGGACAAAACTCGGTTTCAAGTTTGTTTCTAGGCAGGACAGCGGACACTCTGGTGGTCTGTAGGATATGCATATTACGATAGATATTTTAAGTTTTTACTTCGAAGTTTCAGCCAAAGCTGATGGAAATAGTTTTCAGAAACAGATGAAATTTCCTTGAGTTTGGAGACCTTAATGTAATTGCCGATGTAACTATGCGAAAATACCACCTCCACATCTATTTAAGCGATCTTGTCTGTATAATGTATAACATTCGATGTAGATCTCAGCATTTGTTATCGTAGTGTTCAACCACGTTTCTGACAGTGTAAGGGCTTCAGCTTCAGGTGAATATAACAAAACCGAAATTTTCAAAATGGCGGCTAGTCGTTTTGTGGAAGTTACTGATAAAGAAATAAGCGAAATTAAAATAAATTCAGTCCCAAAAAACACAAAAAACAATTATTCGCCTCAGGCTCGGTGATTTATGATTTTTATGATTTAATGATTTGCCCAATATGTGATATACCATTATTTACATAAAAAATAAAAATGAAGTAAATACATTTGGGCTAGGAGTCTATATAGAAACCTTGAACAGGCTTTTGGATTTAGACCCCTAGTTTAAAGTCTAGGTGCTAATATATATAGTTAAATTGTCATCGGCTCTAAGTGTTTACAAATAGTGAGGTTATATTACAATCAATATTTGTAGGAGAGTATTTACTATAAATAATTAAAATGAGAAGCTTGAGTGAAAAATCTATTTACATGAAGAGAAATTACAGTTAAAGTGTTTTATAAGATTAATTACGTAGAAAGTGTATTTTGATTAGTGATTTATTAAAAATGGGACGTGATGTTATTATTTTTAAATTACTGCCAAGATTATTCCAAACGTCCACCCCTTTCACTGAAAGCGAATGCTTGACGTAGTTAGTTCTCTGATAAGAACTTGAGTTTCGAGTTTGTATTGGTGAATTTGGTTATTTGAAATAAAAAAGTCTGTGAAGAATTTTGGCAAGTTTTTAAATGATGATATCGTAACAAGAAAAGATTTGTAAGGTAGTTATTTAACTTACTGAGATTCAAGATCTGTAGGTCAATAAATATCTTTCCAGTGTGAGAAAAATTGGACTGAAATGTCATCACACGAATTATTTTCTTTTGAATATTTGTTAACTTTTAAATTCTTGAGAAAAGAGGTGTTTGAGAATGATGGTAAGTCAGCATTAATGGTCTGAATATGTTCTGATGGGAGGTTATTAGCAAGAATGAACCTTGACATTTTAACTGATTTTCCAATTTATCTTCTTGAATTTCACGAAATGACTTGATTATTTCTTTTGTCGACGTATATACCTATCATATTGGGTGTTAGTATGATTACAGGTCGATTTCCAGAGGTG